CCGAGGCGGGCGGATCACGAGGTCAGGATTTTGAGACCAACCTGGTGAAACCCGTCTCTACTGAAAATATAACAGCAACAACAACAAAATAGCTGGGCGTGGTGGCGCGTATCTGTAGTCCCAGCTACTACTAGGTAGGCTGAGGCAGGAGAATGTCTTGAACCCAGGAAGCCCAGGTTGCAGTGAGCCGAGATTGTGCCACTGCACTCCATCCTGGGCAGTAGACGGAGACTGCGTTTCCCGCCCCCCCTCCCCCCAAAAAAAAGGTAAAGAAAAAAATAAAATCTCATGTGTGGTTCGTTAAAATTGGTTTTCCTAGTCTGATGGGTCTTAAATTCCATTTGTTAAACATTTAGTGAGCGTGTCCCTTTAGTTATTGGCCATTTGTATTTTCACTTAAGGGAATTACTTGGTTCGTATTCTTCTTTTTCTTATTTTTTGAGATGGAATCTCACTCTGTTTCTCAGGATGGAGTGCAGTGGTACAGTCTTGGCTCACTGCAATCTCTCTCTCCCAGGTTCAAGTGATCCTCCCACCTCAGTCTTCCTAGTAGCTGGGACTACAGGAGCATGCTAGTTGTTGTTGTTGTCGTAGTTGTTGTTGTTGTTGTTGTTGCACGATATCGGGTCACCACAACCTCCGCCTCCGGGTTCAAGCGATTCTCTTGCCTCAGCTATCCTGAGTAGCTGGGACTATAGGCACGCGCCACCACGCCCTGCTAATTTTTGTATTTTTAGTAGAGACGAGGTTGGTCAGGCTGGTCTCGATTCCTGACCTCGTGATCCGCCCGCCTCGACCTCCCAAAGTGCTAGGATTATAGGTGTGAGCCACCGCATCTAGCATCGTTATTGCCTTTTGTAGAGACAAGGTCTTTCTGTGTTGCCTAGGCTGTTCTCAACCTCCTGTCCTCAACAGTCTTCCAGCCTTGGTCTAGCAAAGTAGGATTATCACCATTCCTGGCCTGTTACTGCTTAATTAAAGAAAAACTATTGATTTTAATTTATCTTGTAATTGGTTACCTTCAAATGAATGTGGTTTTTGTTTGTTTTTGAGATGAAGTCTTGCTCTGTCACCCAGACTGGAGTAGCAGTGCTGCCATGTCTGCTCACTGCAACCTGTGCCTGCTGTGCTCAAGCAGTTCTCCCTGCCTCAGTCTACCAAGTAGCTGGGATTGCACGGGTGAACCACTAGGTCTGGTCAAATGAATGTTTTTATTTGTGCCGATTGGTTGAATCTGTCATTCTAGGTACACAATCACATCATCTGCAAATAAACATAATTTTGTTTTTTGTTCTGTTTTCCTTACATTAGCTCCACGATCAAATTTGATGGATTTTCCTACAGACAGTGGAATCTTACAGCTCACGTAACAAGCAAAATCTTTAAGTTTTGTTTTTTTGAGGTGATGTCTTGCTGTTGCCCAGACTGGAGTGCAGTGGTCCATGTCTACTCACTGTAACCTCTGTCTCCCTGGTTCATATGATTCTTCTGCCTCAGCCTCCTGAGTAGCTTGGACTGCAGGCGCCTGCTAGCACACCCAGCTAAGTTTTGTGTTTTTAGTAGAGATGGGATTTTACCATATTGGCCAGGTTGGTCTCAAACTCCTGACCTTGTGTTCCACCCACCTTGACCTCCCTATGTGCTGGGATTACAGGTGTGAGCCACTGCGCCCCGCCAAAATCTTTAGTATTTTACACTTTAATATGTTTGCTCTTGATATCTGGTTATAATTTTGTCACTTCTTGACAGATTTGTTTTATTTTCATTATACTGGAGTCATGTTGTAAAGGTCTACTGGGAATCCTGAAGGAATAATAAAAGACACATCTAGACACACCTTGATGAAACAAAAACCCAGTGGATATTAGGCTTCTGGTCAACAGCACCAGATTCTTAAAGGCCATGGCATAGTACCTGAGAGAAGGTATCTATCCAAAATACATATCAGGTAAAGTGATTTTTGAACATGAAAAGATTGTCTTTATTACCCATATATTCATTGTGAAGCATATTTCTCAAGGCCTTCTTAAATGAAAAAGGAATAATATGAGTTGAACATCACTCAGACAACTTAGGGGAAAACACACTTGATAATAAATGAAGAGAGGGATCTACTTGACTTTAATGTTTGAGATAGTCTCTTGTGAGCAGTAGAGATTTGGTGACATTGATTCAGATGGTCCAATTTTAATTCTTGGTTCTGCACTAGATAATACAGTATTTAATTCTAGTACTTCAAATGCTTATTAATATGAGCTGTCAGTTTTTAGAATTAACCAGAGGACACAGCTTAGAAGGCTTTATTAGTTGAATAGAATGTAAATGTTATGAATCTTGATACAAAAATAAAAAACATAAACTGAGTGTAGTGGCTTCTGTAATCCCAGCAGTTTGGGAGGCCCAGGCGAGTGGATATCTGTAGAGGCCAGGAGTTCAAGACCGGCCTAGCCAACATGGAGAAACTGGGTCTGTACTTAAAATATAAAAATTAGCAGGGTGTGGTTGCAGGCATTGGCAATCCCAGCTGCTAGGAAAGCTGAGACATGAGACTTGCTTGAACTTGGGAGGCAGAGTTTGCAGTGAGCAGAGATTGCGCCACTGTACTCCAGCCTGGGCGACAGAGTGAGACCCTGTCTCAAAAAAAAAAAAAAAAAAAAAAAAAAAAAATATATATATATATATATATATATATATAAAACTGAGATGTGGAAGAGAGATTGCAAATTGCAAATGAAAAGATATGGGTGTGTTAGAGAAAATTCTTTTCTTTTTTGTGGAACAAACAGATACTGTCTAAAATTGATAAACCAAGATGTAAAATAGATTATTTAAAGTTACAATGGTAACTCTAGCAATCAGAAATAGTTAACAAGACACAACAGAATGTGGTTCTAGCTCATAAGCGGAAGTGGGAATGGGAGGAATGCTTGGTTATTTGGGGGCACTTTTGTAACCTTGGATTTTTCTACCATTTATAGATTAATTTGACAAATTACTTAAAAATGTACCTTAAGTTAAAAAATATAGGTTATATATAAAACAGTAAGTGTGTAACGAATGCTCTCTTTTTGTAAGAACATATATATTCCTATTTGCATAAAAACATTAGCAAGAAGGCTGAAAACGGAACGAGGGGTCAAATGAGACTTCTGTGTATGCCTGCTATTCAGTAAAATTACACTGAAAATAAATCTTTGAATAATTAGACAAATGAAAGCCTATTGATTAAAGCTTCAGTTTATTTGTTGAGTTACTTTATATTTTTATTTTATCAAAGAACATAGTAAACTAACTTTACCTATTTTACCTAGATTTTTTAAAACCTTGATTTTTAAAAATTTTATTGGAATATTGGTTTAATAGTGTCCATGATAGTGTTACTTACAATGGGAAATGTTGGAGAGGTGTGTCATTCGTATTTTGATATATAACATTTTGTTTGTATTTGGGAAGTTAAAAAGTTGGCACATGCACTTAGTTTCTTTCTTCTTTTTCCTCTTGGGTTGCTTAACCTTCCCTTCCTCCCACCCAAATCCCTATGCTTATGGTTTTTATAATCCAGTGGGGGAGGAGAGGAATGGGGCAGACATGTGCTTGACCAGCAGGTTAAGCTCTTAAGTCCTGGTGGGGAGGGCCAAGGTTTTCCACAGGAAGTATATTTCAAGAGGTCATTTTAGAAATGGTTTTTTTTTTTTTTTTTTTTTTTTTTTTTTTTTTTTTTTT